GGTTTACTCCAAATAGGAGGAGACACTGGAAGCCTAAATCTTTTTTTTGAGTTGGAGTCTCACTCTGTCGCCTAGACTGGAGTACAATGGCTGCTCCCAGCCACTGCAGCCTCGACCTGCTGGGCTCCGGCGACCCTTCTGCCTCAGCCTTCCAAGTAGCTGGAACTACAGGTGTGTGCTACCACGCCTGGATAATTTTTTGATTTATTGTAGAGATGAGGTTTCGCCAAGTTGTCCAGGCGGGTCTTGAACCCGTGGGCTCAGGCAATCCACTCACCTCAGCCTCCCAAAGTGCTGGGATTACAGGCTGAGTCACTGAGCCCGGCTGGAAGCCTAAATCTTATTTAATGCAGTTGTTATTCAAGACTTACTTATTACACTGCCTTGAAGATAGATCTATAAGACATATTTTAGTACATCTGAATATATTTTATTTAAGTAGCCAAATATCATTTACTGAAAAAGTTGAAATATGAATTCAGTCCATCTGCCCATGGTCTATAGAAGGGCTTAGTTATTTATGTAAAATTCTGTATTTTTGGTTGTCTCCTAATAATGGAGACCTTGTTTACTTTGTCTATAGGAAAAGAAGGATTTATTTTGGAAAACAGTTGTGTAAAATTTCTACCCCAAAATTTAGAATTTGGATTTTTCTTTTAAGTATGGAAATAATTCAAGGTGGTAGTAATACATTTTTCATTAAATAACAGAAGTGTCTTAAGTCCAAGTGCCAGATTCTTTATGCCTTTTCTCTTAAAGGCTCCTCTCTCTGTTTCTGTCTTAACCTCTCTCTCTCTTCCACATACACACACACACACACACACACACACACAGCCTCCAGGACTCGGACTCTATAATTCATAACGTAACACAAGCAAATGCCACTTATTTAAGGGTTAGGTACCCTGAACTTTTACCCTAACTCTGACAATAGTTATTTGCACGATCTTGGATACTTCATTTCACACCTTAAGTCTCAGTTTCCTCACCCAGAAAATGAGATGTCAAGTTAAATATTCTCTAAAGCTCTGAAGTTGCCAACTTATAAACTTAAATTTGAAGAGCAACAGAAGTGGAAAGAAGCTTTCTGGTAGAAATTATTCATACACAAAACAGGACTCACCATTTGGTAATTATCAGAAAGGAGCAATTCCGTGTGGTCATAGGACAGATAAACTGAGCCCATCTTGCCTAGAGTATTACGAAGGTTAAAAGGTGGAGGGGGTGGGGGAAGGGGAGGCAGCAATCCCTCTTGGAGAATAGAAATCAAATCTCTGTTCTAGGTGTTCCTCACTCGGCTGTTTCTCTCCAAATCATATCCTGAAGTTTCCCTGTCCTGCCAGTGATAACCTGCCCTCCAGGGCCTGTCTGAGCAATTGACTGTCCACTGGTTTGCAGAGCCTAGCTGTAACCCCAGCCTTTTTCCCTCCATCACCGATTTGCTATGTGGTGCTGCACTCTTCTGAGGTCCAGGATGACAATCGAGAATCTTTCTGCTCAACTGTGACTTGGTCACCAGTGCTTTCCCTGACCATCCTGCCTGGTATAGCTCCATCACTTTCTATTCTCTCACCTGCTTTACTGTTCTTCAGAAGATACTTCACCACCAGACAGATTTTTCTCTTTATGTGTCAGCTGCCTCCACTAGAGTGTACATTCCTAGAGAGTTTTGATCCCTGTTTTATCCTTAATACATAAAGCAGAGCCTTGGAACATAATAGACATCATAAATACTTGTTGAATGAATGAAAGATGCATTAGGGTAAACTCAGACCTGTGATCTAATTTTCTGACCAATGGATCCCAGCACACCCATTCCCAAATACACTCAATTAACGTGTATCCATCTAAGGTATCAGACTTTGTTTAATTTTTACTGAGATTGGTGGCAAGGAGGGGTTATGGCCCCATTTTCTAGATGAGGAAACTGAGACTCATGAAGCTAAGTGCCTTGCTAGAAGGCACACAGCAGATAAGTAGCAGAGTTGAGAATGAACCCCAGTTTTCTGACTCTAAGCCTGCTATCCATTTCCTTACTTCCCAGTTTCATTCACCATGTCTGTGTCTTCTCTGATTCTCTCTCCATCTGTGATGGTACCATGTGCACCAAGTTAAGCTTCTGCAGACAAAATTAATTGGATTCAACTGAAGCCTGCCTAGAACTAAGATGCAGTTTTTGAAACCAGGTCATTTCTTAAGGCAGCAACCAGTGTCATGTGCTTTTTTAACACTGATAATATCACTGTGGGAAGCAGGGGCGGGTAGGGTGTTGTTTAATATTGCAAGTTAACTTGTGTGTGGTAAAAGAGTAGCATGGCTCCCGCAAATGTTGGTGCTCCCAATGTGATGCTCAGAGCCTTCCCAGGAACTGTTCTCAGGAAAAAGAAGAGAACACAATTCAAAAGGACTTAATGTAACAAGGGCAACAAGACTGGAACTTTATAATTACACAGAGTTGTGGGAATTATACACAAAACAGGGGTCTTCTGTGAAGAAATCCAGACTTTCCTAGCTTGCTGGACCAAATACCTCCTGAGTACTGAGACCCACAGGTATTTCAAAGTATAGACATGTCTTATATTTGGGGAAGAAATATGCAGGTGCATAAAATCACATCCCAGAATCATTCAAAAGTTATTTTTTCCAGGTTATTCTGAATGGAAACACACATTCTGGATTTGGGTCTTTAGAATCTGTCTATAGTGTCTTCAGACCTCTATCACGATAGGATTTAGTGTGCATACAGGTAAGTATTCTTGTGGAAGATATGAGCATATAATTTAGACACAGAGAAGAATAGAAAGATACTGTTGTATGAAATAGTGCCGCTATTTCATTTGTACAAAGGTGATGAAGCTCAGGAGGGTTTCAAGAGACCAGAAGTCTGCTGTCCTTTCTCCTAGTCCACTGTTCTCTCCAAGCACAGTATTTGAACCGTTGTGGGACCAGGGTCTGGGAGCCCCAAGATCCAGGAGTCTCATGTCAACAGAAAATTGTGGCTTTCACACAACTTAAATAGCAAAATGTACACTAAAGATGCAATCCTTCAGAAGGGCTGAAGATAGCTTGAAAAATCACTGTTCTGTGGATGACACTGCCTAGCCAAGTAACCTGCATGAGAGACAGGGTACTCCTAGGAAGAGTTTGTGGGGAGCAGTTCACAGCCTTCCACTGCCTACACGAAGAGAGACATTCACTCCCATCCTTGGCTTGAAGTGCCAGGTTCCTGATCTAAGTCTGCTCTCTCTGCCTGCCATGCCAATCCCTGTGTGTGTATCTCAAGAGGTTAGCACATCCTGGGTACACAGACCACAGCTTCCTCCCTTAGCTCAGGGCCTGTGCTTAGAGGTCTGAGCAGTGTGGAGATATTTCTTCACTTCTCCTTAGGGTGTCCACATCAAGACCCTGGAGTCATCTCACCACCCTTCAGGATCAGAGGGTCTTCAGGGTAAGTGGCAAGCTTCCTGATTGATTCTGGGAAGGGAGTATTCTAGAGTGGAATGTCTCATTATTAAAACTGGGGATATGGAGACACTTGGACTGTTGGCCCACACCAACAGGAAGCAGAGAAACAGGCACAAAAATGACCCAATGACCCCCACTCTGGGGTCTCTACAGGAATACCCTGTCACCCACTTCTCGCCCACTCACTTCAAGTTTGCGGAGCCCAGACTCCTATGCTCCTTTTAACTCATTACAATCATTTACCTCATCTCCAGATTTTCAAGTTCCTTGGTTCCTTTTACTAAGTCAGCATATTTCAAACTTTCAGAAAAAAAAACTTAGAAAATAAAAACCACGACCCCACCCAAGAAGATAAAAATCTCTTGAGTTCTCTAAGCCCAACATCTTAGCCTTCCCTCACTCGGCCCTGAGCGGGGAGTTGATTCCTTTGGGTTCTGGGGAATGGCGGGCCCTGCCAGTCCCCACCTCACCAGCCTAATAGTTTTTCCAGACAAACTCTTGCTTGGTGTTGCACTGCAGCCTCGCTGCGAACTCCTGGTCCCATTCATTCCCCCAGACCCCCTAAGGCTAGCCACCTTAGGGAGTGTCCCCCCTCTGTGCTCCTGGCCGCACGGCTGAACCCTTCGAGAGGCAGCCGTCAACGCTTCTGAAGTCTGACACGGAACCCAGACCCTCACCCGGTGCTCTTGACTGCACTTTGCAACCTAGACTCAGGCGTGGCAGCGGGGTGGGGGTGGGACTGGCTCGGCAGGCGCCGGGGCGCGGGCTCAGAGCCGGCCTCCGCAGGGACGGCGGCTCCAAAGGGCGCGGGACCCTCTTGGAGAGGATCGCTCGGGGAGCACTTGCCCTGGAGCGGCGGGCGCCTGGGCGCGGGGAGCTGCGTGGACCGGAGCTGGGGAAGGAGAGTCTCCTTCCGAGAAGCTGCGAGGCCGGCCCGTTAGTCCCTGGGAGCCGGCGGCCCCCAAGCGCCGAGAACCCGGCGACAGAATGACCGAGAGGGAAGGGAAACTAGCCTGCGCTGACATGTAAACAGGGGTTTCCAGCGCGGAGAGCTCGCTCAGACAGACCCCCAGACACACTCACTTGCACCCCTATCCTACCGCGACGAATCCGCTCACCCGTCCCGGGGCCCACCAGGCACAGACCTGATCCGGGGGCGGCTGCAGCCCCAGCCCCCGCCGCTTTCGGCCTCGGGCGAGAGGAAGCTAGCCGCCAGGCGAGTGCCTGGTGCCGGGCCTGGGCGCCCCGGGTGCCGGGGGGAGTGGTGGCCCCGGAGGTCTCCCGCCCTTGACTCCGATCCGCGCCGGGGCTCCCCGGGTCTCACGCCGACCCCTCCCGCAACCCGGCCAGCAGCACAGCGGGAGGAGGCCGGGCTCCGCTCTGGGACAGGGGGTTGGGGAGGTCGCCCTCGATGGGGAGTCTGGCCGGCCGCCCCACGAGT